GAGTACAAAAAAAGAAAAGTAAGTTTAAAAAAAAAAGAGTCTTGAGAGAAAATAAGAGTGGGGGAAAGAAAAATAAAAGTGAGTAAGAAAAGAGTGGTAAGAAACATGAGAGGAAAGAACATGCACTTACTTTTTCACGAGTCCCACTATAGACATTCGTTTTCTTTAAATGGGTGGCGTTAGCATCTTGCAGGGTGGTTGCCTACATATTAAGGTGACTTCGTGAAAACCATTGTTGACATCATTTTATGCCGGGTTGCTACCTAACAAGTTTCTATGAGTGGCTGTGGTTTGAAACCGATATTAGTGTGTTGAAAACCTCAGGGGCTAGTAGCCGGTCCACGTGATATTAAAATTTTTTAATCAAAACGGAAGTGTGCATATTCCATGGTTTTGTAAAAGAGTTTTGTGTTTTAGAAAACAAGAGGATTTAGAATCGTTTTTATTTTCAAAACAAAGGATGGTTAATAGTTTGTTGGCTTGAGAGTAAAGTTAGGACGTTTAGCTTGTGGAGCCTTTCCTGAGACTTATATGATTCATTTGAAAGGATGTGAATCCCGGAGCGGAAACGGATTTTCGTTCCTGATTTTCGGGATACAAAATCGAATTACAAAGAAGGAAAATACAGAGGAAACTTTACCTTTGAAGAACGTTTCTTTAACGAGTTTCCCTCGAATGCCACCACTATGTCTACCTCGCTATCCTCTTGGGTCTCGGGATCGTGCTGGTAGGAGCAATCCTTTGGAACGAGAGGGAAAAAACCGAGAGAAAGAACTTGATCGAGAGAGCAAAAAAAACTTCGGAGAGCTTCTTCTGTTCTGTTCTGTATTTTTACAGAATTGCAAAAAACAAAAGCAGTGACGTGGGGTAACTCCTCACGTCACACTAACCTCCCACTCCCCTGCAATTTTGCAGGAGAGTTTAATATTATTAATATTAATAATATTAATAATATATATATATATTTATATAAATAATTAATATATATAATATATATATAATAATTAAAATATAAAATTAATTTATTAATTAATCATATTAATTAATAAATAATTATTAATTATTAATCCAATTAATAATTAATATATATATATATATATAAATCAAATAAATAATTAACACTTAATTATTTATCACAAAAATAGAATCATATTCTATAACATTTCTCTCGTATAACCTATAGTTCTAATGTACATCTTATACACATTATTTTTAACCTGTAGTTTTAATATGAATCTTATTGATATTAATTTTATTTGAATCTCATTCAAATAATTTCTCTCATAATATATAGTTTTAATTTATAATTAACTATATATTATAATGTATCAATATACATATAATCCCTTAAGTAATTTGAACAATTCAAATTCTTCCAAAACTTGATCCTCGTTTTACCCGTTATGAGCTAGCAAGGGGACCTAATGGACCTACAGATCCAAAGCTCCAACGATGCAAGATTAATCAGTCAAACTCATTGACCAAGTTAATCTAGATTCGTTAACTACGGGTCATTCCACTAAAGACCCGCAGTTGCACTCTTCTCACTGCATAATGTTTTCGTGTCCATAGATATACGACCATTAATGACGAGTCAATCCTTCACGAGTGTTTGTAACTCAAGTTGGGTCAAATTACTGTTTTACCCCTGAGTTACATCTTACTCCTTAAACATCACTGCTCCTCTAATGAACAACCCGGTTATGGACCAACCAATAACCAGAAGTCCCTCTGGGCCAATAAGAGGGTGGGGCCCCGTGTTCAAGTCCCGGAGTCAGCATTTAAGGGAACACTCATCTACTCCCCTAAAGTCGGGGAGGAGTGAATTCCATCTTGTGAAGTTATGTTCCCAGCTCCCCACTCGGTCTCGTCCCCAAAATGGTAGGAATGTTGAGTCGGCGACTCGGGCCACTCTTACCCATACAGATCAAAGGACGAGTCCTCACGGGCAGGAGTCCATAACTCACTCAGGATTGAGAATGAGTTGCCTGGTCATCCTAAGAAATAGCAACCTATTAGTTAACGGTGTTACATCTAAAGATTGCCTATTTCGTGGTCCGGTCTTATACAAACTCATTGTATAGGATACCCCCACTCGCATGTCTTCACACGAACGACCTAGATCGAGTCGTCTATAACCTTTACAGAGTGGGCCGTATCCATAGTGTTGCCAGGATAAGGTACCCAGCCTTATCCATATACTATAGAACCTTTAGGTTATTCATGGGACATTATCCATTCATATATCAGAGGTATATCAAATATATACCCATTATATATATTGTCCCGATTACATCATAAATAACCTTGGATGTTTAGTTTATTGGATTTTGGAAAATGCAAAGCTATGATTCAAAAACAAATTTATTGAATAAAACTTTATTAAATACACATATGTTTTTACAAAATACAAACTACGAGTTTAGGGCAACACACCCAACATCATTTACTTAGAACATTTGGATTGCTGATCATTCATATTTCTAACATGTTGATTGTTTTAGATTTGTTGTTGTTGTTTTTGCTTGAGGACAAGCAAATGGCTAAATTTGGGGGTGTGTTAGGGTTGACTTTTTCCTGCAGAAACATGTGTCGGTAGTCTTGTTTGACCACGTTTTTGACACATTTCCCATTATTATTTGCCAAAAAGGACCACATATTCTTAAAGTAGAACATACATAGATTATTTATGCATAATAGTCAAACTATGGTACTTTAGGAAAAATATGAGATAAATGCGGTCAAAGTTGGAAGAAAATAACAGAATTCTGTCTTTTGCAGAATTGCGCCTGGCGCATTTTTTTAGGGCAGTTTGTCAAAATGCACGTTTTGATTAATGAATGGCAAGGAGGACATTTCCCACAGGTTCAAAACCGTGAGTCCAAGTCCAAGTGAGGTGCTTAGGTGAATCTCAACCCTTTTCCACCTGAAATGGAGAGGAGTTTCAACCAACCTATGGTGCTATAAAAGGAAGCCATCCATCCCTCAGCAAATCATCCCTTCCAAGTTTCATTTCATCTTCTTTTAGATGCTCTCTAGTTGTAGAACACGTTTTTAGGGTTTATGTTCATGTTCTAGTTGTTCATTTCTTCGTTTTTCACGATTTTACCTTTCGTATTGCTCTTAATTCAGTTTCTTACTTCCGTTCTTTGTTCATTCTGTTATTTTAAAGTTCTTTAGCGAGTTTCAACTCCCCTCACGCTCGAGAGAGAAGAGGATCAAGCTAGAACTCCTTGTACGACTTATTTATTCATTTAAATTCAATGAAAAATACTTTCTTATTGTTTTCGTGCATTTACTTTCATTTAATTATGTTCTAAATTAGTTATCAACCTCCTTCTGGAATGCCTTACTCAAATGATTTGATTTTCAACACGCTCGAGAATTTGGCCAGATTGCGCCTAGCACTTTTTTGGGTTGGTTTCTAAAAACTTCTCTTTAGGTCTTTTTTCCATTTGGCCAGTGGGAACTTGATTTATACACCAAAGCCCAACCTTGGGAAAGGTGAGTTAGGTAAAATAATAGGAAACCAATTTGGGATGTGACTTAGGAATAAGCGCATAAAATATGGTCCTAGGCATAGGCCCTCTGACCCATAATGCAAATGAGTTAGTATATATTCTCTAAGATTGTAATCACACATAGGAATATGATTGTAGGTTACCCTAGCCTCTGCAGCAACCAAAAGCGGTAGTGAAAGAGTAGAACTCAAATCCCAAGAAAAGTCAGGAATTGCACCTGGTGCATTTTCCCAACATAGTGTGTTTTTCATGTTTTGCATCAAAACTAAGCTAGGAGACAAGGAGGTTGAGTTTCATTAAATCGCTTGTTAGTTAAAACCTCAAACAACAACATTTCACCACTACTTTCTTTCTAAATCACAATTGCATATTTGAACCATTTCACTACATTACTTTATTTTGAAAAGCAACAAGTCCTTGAGGATTCGACCTTGGATTACTTCCGAGTATTATTTATGACCGTGTGCGCTTGCATGAATCTCTAATCTTTTTAAAGGTAGAGAAAATCCCAACAAGCTTCCTATGAGCTTGCACACTAAACCTGTTGGCCAAACATGTTTAGAATGATGGAAAAATAAAACTCACTGCTATTAAATAAGAGTTCAAATGCATTCAATAGTAGTTCAACGTCTATTACAGCAAGTTTCAACCCCTCCTTGAAAGAGGGGGGATTAGTTCATGATGAAACAAATATAAGAAAATGCAAAGGTGGAAGAGGACTCCATTTCAGAAGGCGTAAAGAGAAAATCCATAAGCTTCCCCGGATGAACAGTGAAGATGATCTCGAGCCAAATCAATGTCTTTCTCTCTCCCATTGTCAATGGAGACCCCACGTCTTTCTTCAGAGGATGTTTTTCTGAAAACGATGCCTTCTGTCAGGTCCACTCTCCTCTCTCCCTTTTACGGCTGGGGTCGCTTTTTCTTTTTGTACTGGGCCTTTAGCTTAGGGCACCAAATAACCTCACGCGGATGCTATATAGACAATGTACGGACACTGTATGGACACGGTAACAGTGTGGGTGAAATCAAATTACTGCTTCAGTCTCTACTCTATAGCTTTCAAAGCGCTAGCCTGCTTCCGATCTATTCCACTAATGCTTCACCTGCTCCAAATGCACCAAACTTTGCTTTATTCACTAAACATCCACAATTTAGCATTCACTCAAAAATTTAATGAATCTACAAGAGTCTATGCATCGAAGGTTCCCTCTAGAATTTCTCACATTCTTGTGGTTTAATTAGCTTGTATCTCACATTCTTGGCACACAATTACCCTTAGCTTGGCCTAAAATTCACTCTCTATTTGAGAGCTATCAGTCTTACCCGTCATTACCTTTTTCATCAACCACTGGATGGGCCTCTTCCCGAACTTCCTCTTCTACCAGATCTTCTACAATCTTCTTCCCTTTGTCCTTTGCTCTTTTTCATGATTTCCCTTTTCCACGGTGGGAGGCACTTCTACAACAGGTGGATCAGGTCTTACATCAATGTCGTCTCTTGGAGGGAAACGATGCAGGCTTCCAGTGGAAGCATGATACGGTCCATGTGCTGTTGCTTAGCATCTGTCAACTCCAAGTATTCCTTCACCTTGGACTGCATAGAACCGATCGTTAGATCCAAATGAAAAAACAAATATCAAACATATGACCATTTGAGAATTACTTACTCGCGTGTTATCGAATACATCACTCGCCAACACACGAAACCCACGAGAATAGGTGCATGACCATCTGAGAAGCCGAGGAATGACGTCGTCACTCAACCTCGTTGCTACTCGCACACTCAACGTCGAGATAGTCTCATACACCCATACCTGGAATCATATGAAGTCAAATAAATGATGTAGTTAAATAATCAATTTAATTATACATTTGACTAAAACCCCACTTACCTAAAACGCGTACGGAAAGCCATGGAGACTATAAGTCTCAACGTGTGCAGGGTCGTCTCTCGCCTTTTGTTGCTACACCAGTAGTTTATCCTTTAGAGCGTTCTTCAAACTCCAAAATTGTCCTTTCGAAAATCATCATACTCTGGTTATAGTTGCAGAACAACTCCCACTGATCCACAATATCTAACAGGTTCGTATCCATGTACTATTTCCTCTCCTTATCCATCATGGCAAGTTCTATGAAGTAAACTATGGCAACCTTGACAACATTCTCGTCGTTGTCAAAACCATGCTGGATAACAACCTTCTTCAACTCGTTACACTAAACCCTCACACTGTCTTTAAAATATTGTGCTCTAAGTCTTCGGTCAATAATATCGTTACCTACTCTATTTATCCTATGTCTGAGCCTGGTGATTAAGTCAAACTCTTTCTTGCCGAAAGACACCCTTTTCCCAAACAGTTCAAAGCTAATAACATCCTGCCTAGGCTCCTCAACCTCTCTCAACAACAGGTGATGAATTGATAGATCGTTAAATGCAACGTCCATGTCCAAAATAGGACCAAAACATGTCTAATTGGGTTGGGGTTAACCTAGCCTTAAGAGTATAACTGATTTTATCTATATGGGCAATGTTTGTTAATGAGGCCAAAAACCAGTCATTACGGTTTAGCTTTAGTCTCAAATTCATCGTATTCCCTAGACAAAGTTAAAACAAGAATTAAATAAAAACTACAAATTAAGCAGAGAAAAAAAAAAGGCTTGGTGGGTGTCCTTGACCTTCTTCCAAGCATCTCGGTCCGAGACAGACCAAGATGATAGGAAGAAGGGTATGCTAACGCGTCGGGATTGAAAGACACGAGGAAATTTGTTCTTCTAATACATCTAGTAAATCTAGTTATCTAAATCTGGGGGGAATCTTGAGGCAATAAGGATATCTTCTCCTTTTGAATATAGGATATTTTCTCCTAAATCATAATGCCATCAAGATATATCTTCCCTTTTAAATTACTTAAATAAGGGGAATTCGAATGTTAGAAAATAGGGATTTTCTCATCCATAACAAAAACAAAAAAAAATGGTTATGAACATATATGATTTTTGTTTTTTAAAAACAAATAACCAAGATCAAAAATAAAAAACCAAAAAACATAAATCGTTATCAAACAGCCCTAAACGTTTGGAACTTAAAATTGATTAAAAACTTACAGTTTTGGTTTTTAGTTGGTCTATTTTCTATTTATGATTTCTTGTTTTTTTGTTTTTCTTTTTTTAAATAATACATGTTTGGTATTTTTTTTTCATTATATTTTGTGTTGAGGGAGAAATTCGAGCAGGATATGTGTCGAGCGATAGGGATGACATTGAGGCACAGGACCGCATATAGTTAGGAATATACACTTCGCATGCATATGGGCGTGACACCACCAAAGTTGTACAGTTAGAGTATCGAGGCCTACAGCCTAAGACCTACGACTGTAGGGGGCAAACTGGCAGACGGAGGCGCCACTCACGTATTGTCAGAAACGACTACCCACAACCGTTAGAATCTCGTACAGCTCGATATCATAACTGTCATCCTTCCTGATCGGCCACCCGCACCTATAAAAGGGAAGGACCCTATCACTACCAAGTAAGTGAAAAATCTGTCACTAAACCCTTAGAATTTTCGATAAGCCTTTTTTGAATAGCTGACCATCATTCATGATATGCCTTTAGGTGTCTACTCCTATTTCCTTTACTCCGATTATTGACTTGATCGTTGAAGTGTATTAGGCGGGACACTGCATTGGTGCCTAGTTTTCTGGTTGTAGGCTCATTTGCCCTTCGTGGACGTACGTTCATGAAGGACACATGGACATCTCCCAAACTCACGATGAACATTTTGAATTTTTTAAAAACTAAAAAATTTAGACTTGTTTGATAAACGTTGTTCTTCTTTTCTTTATTTTATAAATAAAAAACAATAAACTATGTGGTAGTTTGATTCTTGTTTCTAGTTTTGTATGTTTTATGATAGAAAATCAAACCATTTTTATAAGTTTGTAGTTTCGAAATTTAATGTCATATAATTGGAAATATTTTAAATGTTTAATAATAACTCTCAATCATAAGACAAATAACCAAATAAATATATGTCTAAAAGATATAAATAACAAATACCAGAAAATAATAATCGAAAACAAAATCTATTTGAATAAACCATGAAATGGATCTTAGATCTTTGGTTTAAATTATATTGACTATGGAACCTTACACTCTTTTATTTTAGTTCAGAAAATTACTTTTGACATATCTAAGTTTGAACATAATCTCTAACGTTATCATGTTAATTTTCGAATAACAGGTAATCTTAGGTTCAAGCTTAAAATTTTTTCATTAACAGACTTTTTAATTCAATGATACAGGGTGGAGATTCAATCCTCTTTTGACAACTTACAAATCTTCCCTGTAATATTTTAAATATTTTGTTTGTGGGAAACACTATATGGGATAAGATATTAAAACTAAATATAACTTATTCCAATAAAAAAAATTATCACAATATATTCAAAATATTCAAATGTATTCAAATACTTCAATAGACTTGTGAGGTCAGCAGATTCCCACTACAAAAGAAAACAAAGCCCGTATGGAATTTTTATAAATTAGAATCTATTCGTTTCCAATTTTATTAAAAAATCTAAACATTTCACAACAAAAATTTTGCAAATAACAAAAGTAAGATATTGTTTCATCATTCTTGAATCTACTAAATGGACCGTAAAAAATGAGAGAGTGAATTGATTATTTGATAAAACATAATCTAACAGAAAATTTAGATTCCTTCCCCAACTATTTCGCCTTTTATTTTTAAAAATTATACTGTTTTAATTTAATTTTTTAATACAATTAAATTTTTAGTCAATTTTCAAAAACAAAAATAAATTTTTAAAAAGAACTTTTTTTTTTAAGTTTTCAAAATTTAGCTTATCTATTAAAAACAATATTATTTCTAAATTTTGGATAGCAAAACAAAGAAAAAGGGGAGGCAAAATTAGTAATTACAAACTTTAACGTTAGAAAACCAAAAATAAAAAACAAATATTTTTTCAGTTTTAGTGAGCAGGAATATTTCCATATGCGTCTTGCCAACTCAAGAGTATAGAGTAAACTATCATTCAATGATGTGCCAAAATGTAAATGTAAACGGCCAACACAAATATACGATTTATTTATACAAAATTGATGAAACGTATTTTCGCTTTTTAGATGTAGTTTGATAATTAATAGTTGATGGCAAGATTTCACTCCATCAAAAAATATATCTTTTTTTTTTTTGACGGGAGGGTAATGAGGGCGATGATTGACAATGTCAGTTGAGCATAAAAGTAATTAAGGAAGCAATCCATATCTATTCTATAAACATTATTTGGCATACATAATATAAATCCCTCAAAATCATATCATAAGATAAAAGAAACAATAATCCATATTCTCTTAAAACAAATAAACAAACGATCCATATTTAATACTCATCATTTGCCATAGCCACAAATCCTCAAAATCATACCATAAAATAAATAACAAAATACCAAAAAAAAAATGTTACTAATAACATTCAATACGAAGACAAAAATATAAGAAGCAAAAAAAAAAAAAAAATTAATAAGGGTTAAGCACCACCCAAATGGGGTTAGGCCAAACATATGGGTGAGAAGGATAACCATAATTACCCAATAAATTTTGACATATTCTTTCTCTTGCGTCGTATAAACCAAAATCATGCCCACAAAACTTACTTTCAAGCTCCATGCTATCATTGGTGTAGAAGATTTGATTACCTCTCAGCTTGGGACAATCTTTAGACGAGATACAAAGAGAAGTATTCAACCCCAAGAAGATAGAACACCCGTCGAGGTTATAAATCTTAGACCATGTCGCTCGGCTTTCTACCCAATCCAACTTGTATAAGTTGAACCCAACAGTCTTCGACGCATAACTTGTTTTCCCTCTAAGTTGAACATGTTGCACCTTAAAAAGTCTTTCAACCATCAACAACTCATCATCTCGACCGACCAAATACAACGTGGACTCAATCGAAAGCCGTTGTCGCATGATCACATTCATGTTCTTCACTTTTATACCCGCCACTTGTGTCGGATCGTCGATAGGAGAGACAACAAGATCTTGAAATTTAGTCAAAGCATAGATCTTTTCATGGAATAATATGCAATCACAGATGTCTGACGTAGGAATAGCTGTCCATTTGTCGTCACCAAGCTTAGTAAAAGCAATCTTCGAGAATACATTATATATGGCCACTGCTATAAAATGGTCCTTCGAGTGCAATAGGCAAATTTTGTGTACATATGCAACAGGAACATCTGTTTGGTGGTCGATGCGGCCATTTGGATTGTAGATCAAATAGGGATCTGGAAAAGAAGAAGTCGAAGGGAGTTGGAGTTGGAGCTTTGTAAGAGGATTAAAGAGTTTTAGCGTCCAAGAGTTGTCGAGAAGTACCAACCAACCATTGGAAGAGCCAAGGCACCGACCACTGACTTCACTCAAATCAGGGCAATAAATTTCTTGGTTTAAAGGGTTGAAGAACCCTCTAAACAACGAAGAACAAACTTTATGAGGAATCATCAAGCGTGGAACTTGATAATATTGGTGCTTTGGCCACTTGGGCAAAGTGCTTCTACACGAAGCACAAACGGCTCGAAATCGAATGTAATCGGACAAATTTTCTAAGTGTTCTCCAATTATTGGTAGGATATCTTTAGGGAGATCGTTCCACCCAGGGATGAGAGCCATGGAAGAGGAAAAGAATGATGTTTGGAAGTTTAGAAAACGTTATCGAGATTAAGTATAGAAGAATGAATTAAGTTATATATATTTCAAAAGAAAAATGATTACGAAGTTCAAAATCTTTATTCAAACGAAACGAGATCTCAAATAATTTGAAATATACAAATAATATTCTATAAAATAATTTGAATGGTTTGTTTTGAATTTAAAAGGCAGAGAAGTAATTTTCAAAATCAAATGTTGAAATTGAGAATTCGAATTTAATTATGAAATAAGAAAAATAGTATTGAAATCTCCTTGATATCAAGGATGATTTTGAAATTGCAAGATTTTTTCATTCAAATCAATGATTTTGCTTCCAAAAGCTGGAATTTAAATTTTAAATTTTAAAACAAACGTGACCAAAAAAAAATAAAAAATTTTGTTTAATCGATTAATTTTTTTCTCTCCTTTGTAATTCAATTTATCAATTTCATTTGATGTATTTTTTATCTCAACGTTCAACTTTGCCTCGCTCATATTTTTTAGGTTGATATTACTGATTACTCTACTTCTATTTTAATTATAAAAAAAAACTATATAAAAATTCATATTTTTAATTCAAATCTTATTTATCTCTGATAAGTTTTAAATTTATACATGTACGGCTTTGTAAATTCAAATCAAAATTTTATTTAGTTTTAGAGAAATAACATATTTCAAGTTTCAAATTTGATTCTCTTGTTTAGGTTTTCATATCATAAAATTTAAATTTAAATGAAATATCATAAAATTCAACTGTGCGTTGAAATCTGCCACGTTCGAATTTGGCTCAGGGAGATTAAATTTAATATGAAGAGAGGAACATAAAATATTAAATAATGTGGACGAAGACAACTGTTTTTAAGTTTTATGAATTTGTTTAGTTTTCTATCCTAAGAAAAACTAATATTTAGTTTTTATTAAATATTTAACAATTTTTCTTTTGAGAAATAAATATTTAACAATTGGTTTCATTAAAAATATTTTTCTTTTTACTTTTTTTTTTAACATTAGTATTCTATTTTAAAAAAGGTTATCAAAAAATTGGTTAAATTGTAGGCAATAGTTCGAGATAGTTAATGAGGACGGTTGAAGAGTAGACGTTTGTATATCTCTTAACATTTAAGGATTTAATTGTAACCATTTGTAAGTTGTTTACATAGTGATGGATCAAAATAAAAGTTTGAACTTATTTGTAAAGAGGCGATTTGTGCAATTTTTTGTTTTATTGTTATTGAGCAAGGAGAAGTCAAGGCATATTAACAAGCCAGATGTTGATATCAAAGAAGATCAACAAGCGAGAGGTCGATCACCAAGGAAGCCGATCACCAAGAAAGATCAACAAGCTAGAGGCCAATAACAAAAGAAGATCAACAAGGCATAGGCCGAACACTAACGTAGATGAACAATCCTAGAGGTTGATCACCAAGGAAGATCAATAAACCTAGAGGCCGATCACTAACGAAGATCAACAAGCATATAGGCCAATTACCAAAAGAAGATCAAACCTTCTGTTAGATGAAACCTTGGGTTGGGTTGAATTGTAATTTTCCCAACCCGGGTTGGATTCGATCTGGGGTATAACCTTTAAAAAATCAGGTCAACCCAACCCAAATATATAATAATAATAATAATAATAATAATAATAATAATATCTTTATGTCAACTGTCCATTTAGTTTTAATCGTAGTTCTTCATTTAAGGTTTTCATATTATCTTATTTTGTTTTTTGTATCTTAATCTCATTCATCCATTTAGTTCTAATCCTATACCCCGTCTCCGCGATAATTAAAAATTAAAAAAATCACAAGACCCGATAACCCAACCCAACCCGAAAATATTTTGTTGGGTTGATCATCCAATTCAAACCCGACGGTTCCTATATATGGCCAACCCGAAAATTCGGGTTGGTTCCAAAATCTTTTCTAACCTGAGCCAACCCAACCCGTCAACACCCCTACAAGGCGCCATCGGAAGTGGATTGTTCTCATATCCCTTGTACGGACCAGTCTAGCGATAGTATCGCCACAGGAAAACAGGTTTTCAGGGACATAGAAAATGTAACGCTAAAAATCATATTATGTCGCTGAAACTATCAGCGACGATGACACGCGCGTCGCTAAAGTCGTCGCTAAAAATACGTCGTTTATACTTTTAGCGACGACAGTGCGGACACGTCGGTAATAACATTATCAGCAACAAAACGGTAAGTTGCTAATAATTTTATCAACGACATCATGACTCTGTCGCTAATAATATTCATTGCGACACATCGGATTTCGCAAATAATTTATTTGCGACACAAATGAAATGTCGCAAATATATTTATTAGCGACAATATTGTTTTGTCCATGATAAGGTTATCATCAACAAATTGTTTTTGTCGCTAATAATAATAATTGATTTTTTTTTCCTTTTTTCCACTTTGAAATTTTTTTCCTTTCTAAAGCGACAATCTTAATTATTCGTCATAACTTCCCTTTCTCTCAAATAATTTGCACTCAATAATTCCACAATACGTGAACCTCCTAAATCATTTGAATGCAAAAGTAACTTTTAAGATTAAATTGAAAAATGTAACATAAGATAAATTCAACTTGGAATACTAAAAAAATGAACCTTAAAATTGCAAATATATGTATTCAATCATTACATCCGAAAAAAAAAACATACATCAAAAGATCGAGTACGACCCATATAAGCTTTAATGTTCTGTTTGAGTTTATCTCAAAAGTAGCCTTCAAAATTAGACAAGATCTACACACCTGAAATGAATCAAATAATATTTGGAAATGTTATTGCATAAAGAAACAAATGTACGAAATTAAAATGTGGCAAAATAAAGTAGTTAAGTGAGATATGAAGACCAAAATCATGAAACGATACATTAAAACTATCTTCAACGTGTAAACGAGAATATAAACTATAAACTAAAACCATATAAACTAAGTCATAAACAAGTGTCTTTAAAGAGCCTAAATGCCCTCAAAGACCACAAACTAGCTTCAAAATCACACTAAAATGATATAAAATGAGAAATTAGAAAACTATTAAATAAGAAATATAAATAACCACTAACATTAAATTAACATTAAATAACAAGTATAAATAACCACCAAACAACAGAACTCATTAATGAATTCTCTCTCAACCAAGTCTATCCAAAACAAACAAAGCATAAGACAGTATACAAACTAAAACTAACTAACTTGGAGGAGGTGAATTCTCCCTTTGCCCCTCCTTACATAACTACCTAATATTTTGAGTCTTTCATCTAACCTCCAACCAAGCCCTATGCACAACTACGACTACCATAACGGTAAGATAGTCATAACGATTCAAATACATCAAAAACTCAAATTTTAAAGTACATGCATCAATATCTAGTCAAGCTTCATGAGCAACTATGACTACCATAACTGCATGATAGTCACAACGATTCCACTACATCAAAAACTCATTTAAAATGGCATAA